AGTAAGAGTTGTTATTAAATAAACTGTGTCTCCCAGTCCTCCCAGTAACCCTCTCCCAGTCCTCTCCCAGCAACCCTCTCCCAGTCCTCCCAGTAACCCTCTCCCAGTAACCCTCTCCCAGTCCTCTCCAGTAACCCTCTCCCAGTCCTCCCAGTAACCCTCTCCCAGTCCTCTCCCAGTCCTCCCAGTAACCCTCTCCCAGTCCTCTCCCAGCAACCCTCTCCCAGTCCTCTCCCAGTAACCCTCTCCCAGTCCTCCCAGTAACCCTCTCCCAGTCCTCTCCCAGTAACCCTCTCCCAGTAACCCTCTCCCAGTCCTCCCAGTAACCCTCTCCCAGTAACCTCTCCCAGTAACCCTCTCCCAGTCCTCCCAGTAACCCTCTCCCAGTAACCCTCTCCCAGTCCTCTCCCAGTAACCCTCTCCCAGTAACCCTCTCCCAGTCCTCTCCCAGTCCTCCCAGTAACCCTCTCCCAGTAACCCTCTCCCAGTCCTCTCCCAGTAACCCTCTCCCAGTCCTCTCCCAGTAACCCTCTCCCAGTCCTCTCCCAGTCCTCCCAGTAACCTCTCCCAGTCCTCTCCCAGTCCTCTCCCAGCCCCCCCAGTAACCCTCTCCCAGAACCCTCTCCCAGTCCTCTCCCAGTAACCCTCTCCCAGTCCTCTCCCAGTAACCCTCTCCCAGTAACCCTCTCCCAGTCCTCTCCCAGTCCTCTCCCAGTAACCCTCTCCCAGTCCTCTCCCAGTCCTCTCCCAGTCCTCTCCCAGTAACCCTCTCCCAGTCCTCTCCCAGTAACCCTCTCCCAGTCCTCTCCCAGTCCTCTCCCAGTAACCCTCTCCCAGTCCTCTCCCAGTAACCCTCTCCCAGTCCTCTCCCAGTAGCCCTCTCCCAGTCCTCCCAGTAACCCTCTCCCTCCCCTCAGGTACCTGTATGGGTTTGAGGAGTACTGCCGCTCGGCCTCCATCAGTTTCAGAACCATCCATCACAACAACCCCCGTCACCCCCCCTCACCGGCCAATCAGAAGCCAGCGGGGCCCAAGCCTAAAGCGTCTCCCAAGGAGGAGGCAGGGCCTGAGGAGGAAGGGGAGGAGTCGGAGGAGGAAGTGAAGGAGATGTCCCCCCGGGTGAGACAGGAGACCCATCTCCCCCCCCCCAATATGTTTATAATGAGTGCTTACTTTTATATTTACATGAACCCATAAGAACCCACGCTGACAGACATCTAAACGTTCTGGAAAGTGGAGGTGGGGGTATGCACCTTAAAGAGAGAGAGCTTCTTACGGGTTCAATGACTTTTTGTCTTAATATTCTTGTGTAGGGGAGGAGGAGCCATCTGAAGCCAGAGAAAGGCTTTCCCTTCAGACCAGGTCCAGGATCAGGTCCAGGATCAGGTGGTCCAAGATCAGGACCAGGATCAGGTCCAAGATCAGGTAGTCCAGGATCAGGTGGTCCAGGAACAGGTCCAAGATCAGGACCAGGATCAGGTCCAAGATCAGGTCCAGGATCAGGTGGTCCAGGATCAGGAGAAGGAGAAGGACCAGGGTCAGGACCAGGGTCAGAGTACAGTGAGGAGCTGAGGGAGCTGAGGAGGCGCAGCAACCGGAGGACGGACGACTCTGAGGACGAAGACGATGAAGAAGATGATGAAGAGGAGGAGGATGAGGAGAGGAGGAGAGAAGGGTGAGACAGACGTTACCTGAACAAGTCCAAACAAAGAGGGGGTCAGGAGGGTCGTTTCTGATGTGTGTGTGTGTGTGTGTGTGTGTGTGTTCAGGGCAGAGGAAGAGGACGGAGACTCGGTGATGGGGACGAAGGTGAGGGTGAAGTACGGCAGAGGAAAGACTCAGAAGATCTACGAGGCGCACATCAAGAAGACGGACAACGACAACGGGGAGCAGTTCTTCCTCGTGCACTACTTCGGCTGGAACGTCAGGTGAGGGGCGGGGCCTAATGTTTTTAGAGGTGGGGCCTGGTGTCATAGAGGAGGGACATGGTGTTATAGAGGAGGGACATGGTGTTATAGAGGAGGGACATGGTGTTATAGAGGAGGGACATGGTGTCATAGAGGTGGGGGTGGGACATAATGTGTGTTGGAGGCGGAGCCTAACTGCTGTCTCCTCAGGTACGATGAGTGGGTGAAGGCGGACCGGATCATCTGGCCGGTGGAGAAAGGCACAAAGAAGAGGAGGAGAAAGAAGGTGAAGGTGAGCTCCTGTGATGTCACTTCCTGTGGGCGGGGAGAGGTGACGGACAGGTGCTCTGGTACTTCTGACATCACTTCCTTTAGAGCAACATGTCTGACAGTCTGTCCTCCTGCAGAACAAAGAGGATGCAGAGCGAGAGGAGCCCCCCTCCCTGCCTCCAGATCTGAAGCCTCCTGGGGGGAGGAGGGGCCGTCCTCAGACCAGGACCCCCCCCACAGCAGGACGCAGCGTCTCAGACACTCCCAGCAGCGAGGGGCGGACCAATGGGAGGATGGAGGAGACGCCCTCCAGCCTCAATGGAGACAGTAAGACACAACTTCCTGTTTAGAGACGAGTGGAGGTCAGGGAGGGTCATCTGAGAGGGTATAGACCAGTTAATTGACGGTATTACGGTATACCAGGGTATTTGGAAATACCGTCGGTATGATTTTCAATACCGTGACGTCACAGACTGTGCGCCAAATCACAGATCCGTTTCATTCTATTACACTACACGGAGTTTTGACAGGGACGACATTGGTTGTAATGCACAGCACGCGCAGCAGTCCTCTCCCAGTCCTCTCCCAGTCCTCTCCCAGTAGCCCT